AGAGAACCGATGATGGGATGTGCACGAGCAGAGCAGCTGGACTGAGTCTCGTCCTGCTTGGAGACGGCATCACAGTATGTTAAGGGGCGTAACATTTCCATCACACGCTCGAGGCATTCGGCACTGGATAGCTGGCCAATCAGAGCACACCTCGCTTTTCAGACCGATGAGCTTTGTAAAAATCTACTGTTTCAGAAAGGCGGGGCATAGAGGAGAAACAATAATGTACAGTATGTGGAAAATTTGTTTTTTGAACCTTAAACCGCATAAACACATTGTATTACACCAAATACACAACATAATGTTCTTTTTAGCAACGTCATATGACCCCTTTAATTATTTTTTTTCAACATTTAGGTTTTAGCTCAATTATGTGACATTTCAGTAGCAAATCTATTGGTTGAACTAGGCCTGCATTTCTTTGGTCGTAGTGTCACTATTTGCTAGCTTTTAAATCATGTAACATTTTAATAGCTACTATATTGTTCGTTTATCAGCTTTTTAGTTAATTCAGTAAATAACGCTGAAAAAATATTTAAGAAAGATGCCTCGAATGAATCAGAGTTTAATCGGTTCTTTTCAGTGAATCTGTCCAGCGGGTCTTCAAAACGGTCTGAATCAGTTCTCGATTCAGTTCGAATTGTTCCAACAGCTCACTCCCGCACTGAATCAATCGCTTGGAGTCGTTTCTCTGTCACTTCAATAGTAACAGGATATGTACATAAAGAAGCAGAGAACAATAACATCGCTGGATGATGTGAAGAATGACTTATAGTAAATTGAAAGGAGAGCTGTAGATCATATCGTTTGCTAGCAGTTAAGAAGCTCTTTATTTAAAGTTCAACACCTGTATGTACAGCTTGGAAATGTGTACTGCGGGGTCAAGACATTTTCAAAAAGACACTAATAGTAAAGTCCCATATAGTTTATAGTGTAGCTACTTCCTCTAAAGGGTAGATTTCAGCTTAGTGCCTAAAGTACTGCCTAGTTTAACACAGACAACAACGCAATAACTAAAAATATGACAAGTATTGGTCAAACAAATCTGTCTTCTATTCACACAGCTATTGTTATTGAGGAAATAAATATTTATGTCAGGTTGGGAAGGTTTCATAATTAGAGTGAAATCTAAAATTCCAGTAACATACTTATGCTATATCTAAGTAAAATAGATTTTTACACAAAGATTGAACTGTGTTTTCATGATGTTTTCATGATATTGTAATATTTTTCAGTCAACAAAAAATATTACAATATTTGTTGGCCAAAGCAGTTTCATATGTTAAAACATATCATCAGAAATATTCACTGAAGAAAGTGTGTGAATAGGTTATTCATAATTGAGATATTATGAATCATTATGTGTGTGCAGCAACAGTACATGATATTTTTTTCAGCCATTTCGTGATATACTTTAAACTGTGGTAAAGGACTGGTTGAAAAAAATGTTCTCTGTTCTACACTGAACCAACGAACCAGTTCAAATTCTTTTGTTCAGTCTGTCTTGATCAGACTATCTGTTTTTTTATGACTTTTAGATCACATTCAGTGTTTTTTTCATGATGGTTGTACAGGTTGTGAAGTTCATAAAGCTTCCCTTTGTCTTTAGGTTAAAAGGGAAAATACAATAACAGTACATACATTATTCTGAAATATATCACCTAACATGTTAATCAGTTCTAAAGCTGATCGTAATAATAAATAGCCAAGATTAGGATCCACATAACATGCTATTGTTAAAATAAGAGACTGGAACTATGGAAACAGGCTTGGAAAGTTTTCCAGAATCGTCAACAGAACAAAAGACTGAAAGACGTCTCATGCCGCCCTCTTTTCTGTGAGAATAAGTCACAAAGCATTGTCTCCACCCACAAGTTGAGGTAAAATGATAAGTATAGCTTTGAGCTGGACAGATTGGCATCATATGAAACCAGATTCATGCCCCAAGGGAGAGATTGCAAAACAGTCATGTAAAAATGAGCAAAAACCTACAGCAAATGTATTCTTTTATAATGTATCTAGCAGACAACTAATTACAGAAATTTCAACTAGAAATTTAATTTAGAAAAAAAAAAACATTTATAGAAAAACTGCACAGATGAAAATACAGTACATCTTTGAATGGTAATTGTGAACATAAATTTACATTTCCAAACAAAAAAAGAAATATACAAAACAAAAACCTCAACTGTTTGTCATCAAGTTAAGAATGCTACCATTCCTGATGCGTATTACTGACTGTGATTTTAGAACATGCTTTGTACTGGAATCTATTACCTCATCTAATTAAAGGAATAAACACTACTGTAAAAATACTGTATGGCAAAGCCTATGAAAGCACTTTTTTTTGTTTGTTTGACAGGCACAATACTGACAGATACATCAAATAAACACTAATACTGTATGTTCATACATGTTTTTTCTCAAAGTTATAAAATATGCTGAGACCAAAATAATTGGCAAGTAGAGCATTACACAAAAAGCTAGACTTCAAAGGCTGGAGCAGGGGTCAAAAATCATGTTGACCTTTTTCAAAAAGGTTTGATCACAGTGTTATACACAATTCATCTTGAGTATCAACAATCCGAATCAAAGAACTGTGAGAACAGAGCAGCAGCATTCACAAATTCCATATGCGACACAAGATATGAGATAAAAAGCCATTTGATATATTCCACTTATGGCTCACCTTATCTTCTTTAACTTACAAAGGCCTTACAAACTTGTTACACAATCAAAAACCATTGGCTCTGCTATGAAACTAATAATTCATTTACTGAAAAATGACTCACCTTCAGGACATACAGGATGTAGATGAGTTTGTTTCTTCATCAGAACAGATTTGCAGAAATGTGGATCCTCTGCAGTAAATGGGTGCTGTCGGAATGGAAGTACAAAAAAAAAAAAAAATCACAATAATCCACAAGTAATCCACACAACTCCATCAATTAACATCATTAGCTGCGTGTTTATAAGAAACAAATCCATTATTAAGCCGTTTAAACTTTAAATTGTCGCTTCTGGCCAAAATACCGGTCCATAATCCATAATAACGATTCCTCAAATCCATCCCAAATTGTCCTCTCACATTAAAATCCAACAATATATTTGTTTAGAACTGTTTTGGACTGCATACTTCTCTTCCGATTCAGACGAGACTACTTTTTCACTGGAGAAAGCAATATTGTGGATAGAGGACTGTCTTAAAGATGGATTTGTTTCTTACAAAAACACTGCTTTTTGCTTCACAAAATGTTAATTGATGGACTGGAAATATGTGGATTACCTGTAGATTACGGTGATGTTTTTATCAGCTGTTTGGACTCTTATTCTGACGGCACCCATTCACTGCAGAGGATCCATTGGTGAGCAAGTAAATAATGCTAAATTTCTCCTAATCTGATCTAATGAAGAAGCAAACTCATCTACATCTGGATGGCTTGAAGGGGAGTAAATGTTCAGGAAATTTCATTTTTGGGTGAACAATTCTTTTAAAAGATTGTATTTTCAACATTG